GCCTCCATTTGATATTAATCGTGCAGTTATTCTCGCTGGGTTTGCGTTTGAAGCTTATACAACCCCTACAGTAAGTTGTTCGACCTTTTGCTACAAATCAATCTTTATCCAATCATTTAGGGATTCGTGTATTTTCACTTGCAGTTTATACCAAGAGTTGCAAGATTGTTTACTTGTGAGGGAATCATAATCATGTTGCCCCCTTGTTTAAAAGATTAATATACGGAAAATAAAGAAAGCATTGAATATGGACCTTTTTTTTTTATCTCTTTCTTATTTATCAGGAAAATACTGGAAAGAGCGAGGTGGATGCAGCTGGTTGTCAGACTGTGATTCTTTCAGAGTATGCTATCATCTGCTTTTGCCCTCATATATAAAGAACCACAAAATGGATTTCATTTCTTTTTCATGTTGAATTGAGTGAAAAAACAAATTTTTGGGAGTTGCTTTATATTAACTGGAGCCTTCACTTCTTTTGTCAGGTCATTTCTTCGTGAGATTTATGATGGCCAGTTGTTTATAAAGCTTAAGAAGGGTTATGATTTTCCTGCCATGGATCCATGGGTAACCTCTCTTCTGCATATCTTTCCTTTAGATGAAATGTTTATACATTTACATCTTTGGTCGCTTTTTAGGGATAAGAAAATCCATGTTTTAAGTGTTCTCATGTGGTGCCCAGTTTCTGCTTTCAGGGAACAAGTGATCCTTATGTGGTTTTGCAATTGGATAGTCAGGTTGTGAAAAGCAATGTTAAATGGGGGTGAGTATATTCAATGTGGTCTCATTCTCCTTTTCTGTGATGAAAGACAAATCAATGTACTTTCTACTCTTGTAACAAATAAACTTAAACTTAAGTAGTGAATTAATCTTTGCTTTAAAAGCTTTTTTTGTGTGTTTTGTCAGGACAAGGGAACCAACTTGGAATGAAGACCTCACATTATTCATCAAGCATCCGCCAACCATCAACCTTCAGGTTATCAATGCATTTTAAGATTTAAGTGGATAATTTTAGTATCCACTTTATGTCTTATTCCTAGTTACCACTAAACAACCTTTAATATTCTTTCTTATTATAGCACTAAACATCAGATTGAATAGGCATTCTGTTTTTTCAAGTAGATGGTATCATCTTTGTTTGTTCTGTTAATACTTGCATTAGAGATTTTGTTGTGTCATCAAACCATATAGAATAAATTTTGGATCCTCAAAATTTATGTTATGTACCAATTTAACTTCAGGTTGCAGCTTGGGATGCTAATCTTGTGGCCCCTCATAAACGTATGGGCAATTCCATTGTCAGCTTGGAGTCCATATGTGATGGTGAGCTTTCTTCTTTTTTTATTTTCTTCATCTTTTGGATGCTTTAAGTCACTACACTAGCTTCTTTTCACCTCAAACAAATTTAAAAGAAAATCTCAGCATTATGAAGTTAGCACAGGATATTATTCCAATACCCTTGATGTTATACTGTAACGTTTGAATGATAGCTGCAGTTTCTAAATGTATTAATGTCCAGATGCTATGTTATGAACTATAGAAAACAATCTCCACCATAATGTCTCTAAAGCATAGAACCATGTTTACCAGGAAATTTACATGAGGTGGTAGTTGAATTGGAGGGAATGGGTGGTGGTGGAAAGGTACAACTAGAGGTAAGTTTCTGTGAATAAAAACATTAAATACAATTGGTCAGAAAACTTTATTAATATCTTTCTAATGAATACCCTTGAGTTACAAATGTGGACTAGGAATAATGCTATTCATAGTTTGAATATACATATATAAATCTTACAGATTTGAATGTTGTTCAGGTTAAATATAAGAGCTTTGAGACAATTGAGGAAGAAAAGAATTGGTGGAGGATACCCTTTGTAGCAGAATTTCTTCGAAACAACGGTTTTGAATCTACTTTGAGAAAAGTTATTGGCTCAGAACCTGTACAAGCAAGCCAATTCGTTGAATATGCTTTTGGTCAATTAAAGTCTATAAATGATGCATACATCCAAAGGGATAATAGCAATGTTTCTAATGCACAAGATTCCACAATATCTACAGATCTTATTAACACTACAGACATAGATTCTCTAGAATCTGAAACCAACCGAAAAGATTTGAATTCTCTAGAATCTGAAAGCAACGAAAAAGATGTAATGAATTCTGACAAAAACGCCTCACACTCTGACAAAGATTTTTGGAAGACTTTTGGGGATACAATCAATGAGAATGTTGTAAAGCAACTTGGTCTCCCAGCTCCTGAAAAGATTAAGTGGGAAGGGTTTGATTTATTAAGCAAAATTGGACTTCAGTCACAGAGTGTTGCAGAAGCAGGTTATATAGAAGCTGGGCTTGCAACTCCAAGCAGTAGTCAAGATTCTGTTAATGATGATGAAAAGAGTAATAATAATAATAATAATAATAGTTCAGCTATTACAGCTATTCAGTCAGCATTTCCTGATATAAAGAAGGCAACACAAGAGTTATTAAAACAAACTGATTCCATCTTGGGAGCTTTAATGGTTCTGAATGCTACAGTTACTGAGTTAACAAAAGATGATTCTGATTCCAATTCCAAAGAGGAGGATTCTGATAAACCGATTTTGGATGAAAAAAAAGCTGAGGAAATGAGAGCTTTGTTTTCAACAGCTGAGAGTGCAATGGAGGCTTGGGCAATGTTAGCCACTTCGTTGGGTCACTCAAGTTTTATAAAATCAGAGTTTGAGAAGATATGTTTCTTGGATAATCCTGTCACAGATACACAGGTCCATCTTATTATTATTATTTAATTTTTTTTTTCAACAGTGAATGTATTATTTTATTTGTCATCAAGTGAGTTGACTTTGTAGGTGGCAATTTGGCGTGATTCAGCACGCAAAAGATTAGTTGTTGCCTTCAGGGGAACAGAGCAAGTAAGTCAACTGAAGTCAATGATGCCAGTGAATTATATATATAAAAAAAAAAGATATTTATTTTTTGATTCGTTAATTCCAGGTTAGATGGAAGGATTTGCGAACTGATTTAATGATGGTTCCTGCAGGGTAATTGTCTTTAGCTGCTGAGATGTTATTTTTTATTAAAAATTATTCTTCAGTTGAAATAATGGTAATTGGGAAAAATGGTTCTTTAAACTGTCAAAAAAGTAGAGTAAATTACAAAAATGGTCCCTGTGCTTTCTGATTTTTACTGTGTTTAGTCCAAAACTGAAAACCTTTTTCGAAGTCAGTTTCATATCGGTTTTAGTTGAAATAAGGACTATAATCGTTATGAAACCTTGAAATAACGGCCAATAATAGAAAATGTTTCAGTTTTGTACTATAGACACAAAAATCAAAAAGTATAGGGACCATTTGGTATTTGACTCAAAAAAGTATAATGATTTAGTCACTGCAGATATAGTTAGGTGGATAAATTGAGAAAATAGTTAGGTGAAGATTTTGACTTTTTTCTTTTCATTACAAATTAGAAGGTCTAATTATCATGATAAATTAACACTTAAACATCTATCTGTAAATGACTTAAATACCTCCTATTTATACTACTGGACTTAGAACCGAAATGACTAGAATACCCCAAACACAAAATAGGTCAAACATATGGGAGTACTAAGAAAGTGTGACACTTGTCTAACTTTTGTAGGCTAAATCCAGAGAGAATAGGTGGTGACTTTAAGGAAGAAGTTCAGGTATATATTTATTATTATATTATTATTATTTTTCTTATGATTCCATATATCTCTTATAAGATAATTTTCAGGTTCACTCTGGATTTTTAAGTGCCTACGACTCGGTCAGAACAAGAATTCTCTCTCTGATCAAAACAGCTATTGGATATCAGTAAGTAGAATGCTATTTATTATTATTATTATTATATATATTTGCCCATGGTGCTTGATATTAATTAAAAAAACAGGGATGAAGATGAAGATGATGGTGGTGATGAGGTGTCCAAATGGCATGTTTATGTAACTGGTCATAGTTTAGGTGGTGCATTAGCAACTTTGCTTGCTCTCGAACTATCCTCCAGTCAATTAGCAAAGTCAGTTTTTTTTTTTTTTTTTTTTTTAAACATTTGGTGAATCATCATCGTCTTTTATTCATCCATGTGAGTGACATTTTGTTTCGTCTCTTTTGATTCACTAGGCGAGGGGCTGTTTATGTAACTATGTATAACTTTGGATCTCCAAGAGTTGGTAACAAAAAATTTGCTCAAATTTATAACGAGGTAATCTCCCTTTCAGTGCATCAAAAGATGTTTGGTGTTAAAGTTTTTGATTTTTGTTGTTTGCATTGTAGAAAGTTAAAGACAGCTGGAGAGTTGTGAATCACAGAGATATTATTCCTTCTGTTCCTCGTTTGATGGGTTATTGCCATGTAGCTCAACCTATATATCTAGCAGCCGGAGATGTAGAAAATGCCTTGGTGAGTACTTTCTTCATTTTTCCTTGTAATTTCAACAAGCTTATTATTATTATATATATATTAAGTATTTGTAGGAAAACATGGAGCTTTTGGGAGATGGCTATGAAGGTGATGTGATTGGGGAATCCACCCCTGATGTTCTTGTCACTGAATTTGTAAGTCTCTCTGTCTCTTTGCAATTAGTTATATGCCAAATTTTAAGATTAATTACTGTGAATATTTTCACAGATGAAAGGTGAAAAGGAACTGATTGAAAAAATATTGAACACGGAAATAAACATTTTTCGTTCAATAAGAGATGGGACTGCCCTTATGCAGCATATGGAAGATTTTTATTATGTTTCTCTGCTTGAGGTATTCTAATTCTAATCTACACTTATATATTACTCTGTATATTTATAAAAAACAAATAAACTAATTTCTTATTTTGTTTTTTCCTTTTCAGAATGTCAGATTGAATTACCGAACAAATACAAAATCTGTTGATGGGGGTAGTTCATCAGTCAAAGAAGTATAGTAAACGAAAGATTGTTACGATGGAAAACTAAAAATGCTTGTACATGATATATATAATACAAGATTTTATCAAACTTTGAGTTTGATTTTAGTGTTGTAAATTTCTTTGGAGATATGTTTTGGCTTCTTCCTGTGGTTCATGATACGCAAGCTTTGTCTCAATATGTCTAACTCGCGTTCCCTTCTTGATTCTTCTTGCTCTATGGAAGCTATGTGTGCTTGTAAAAGTTCAATAGTCTCTTCTTTAGCTCTCAGCTCTTTTTGTAGCTCGTGGATCAGATAATCGTCATCTTCTCTCCATGATGTTGTTTTTCCTGCAAGTTTTATTAATCGATCATTCTGCACAAAGTTGGCCAGGTGGCATATGCTTGTACAAATGGTCAACGGGTCAAGGGTGCACTATCGGCAGCATCAATGGAGTTTTTTCATTTTTTATTCTCTGACATCTCAAGAATGATACAAAAAATACATCTCCCAACTCCGTAGTAGAGCTTTTTCGTCAATATATATTAATGAAACCCACCAAAATTTTGAATTATATCACATTAGTTAAACTTAACTAAAAGACAAAAACAATGATTGGAAAAGCTTTTAAAATTTGTAATTTTAGAGATACTCTTGAAGAAGTTGTAGGTGACAAATTCTCGTAACAGATAACAAGATTTTTCATTATTTTTTTCGAAATGAAATAGCATTAAAAAAATTGTAGACTCTAAAAGTGGATTTTGCTCCTTATTATATACAGATGTGGGACAGTGTGAGGCATGTTTGTCTTTATTCTTGAAAGAACGACTCCTTTACGTGGTATATTTGCATAAATAATCAACAGTAGTGAACGGGAGTTTCAATTTCAATTTCAATTCCAAAGTGTATCTTTAATGTATTAATTACCTTGATGGGTTGTGTTGATGAGATTATCAAGCTCAATCTTGATTGCTAAATACAATCGTTTCCACTTCTCAACCGCCTCATCCCGTCGCTCTCTCTCCTCCTTCATCTGCTCCAACACCATATCCGTCTGCAATTCCTGCAACGCCATTTTCTCACTCTTTTTCTCCATCATCGCCGTCTCTCTTCTTCTGTGTTTTTCTTCTTTCTCTTCCATCACCTTCTTCAACCTCTTCACTTCCCTTTGCAGCCATTTCCTCTCTTGCTTCCATTCAGACTCTTTCAGCGCATGAACCATCATTTCTTGTTCGTAAACTTCATTTTCGGTCCCTCTCAGTGATATCACCTCTTCCAGCTTTTGTTGCAGAAGCTTTGTTTTCTCTCTCAAGATTCTTACCTCACAACCATTATTCGCATGATGCCCCCCTTTAGTTTGCACGCCACCCATGTTTAACCCTTCTATTTGCTTCCAAGTTTGTAGAGTAGAGTGATCCTATTTGTAGTGAGAAAGGGTGTTTAAATGCAAAATAAGAAGAATGACATAAATTTTGTGTATAGGCTCCTCCAAGACTAGGAGCGGCTTCCAACATGTAGTTAATGAGGTACTGACTTGTGCTCGTGACTCCACAAATTCTTTTCATGAATTTGGGTTTGAAACTAGGAGCGTTCTCGAGTATTACAAGTTCCTAATTTAAAAAATTTATTTACGTAATGGGGGAATATTTACCAAAAAGAACGTGTACCTATTTTGAGATGAAATAGCAAATAGTACTTTGACATAAACAATATTGTTATTGATAGGGGTGTTAGTTCTCTAGTGTAAAGACAAAACCACAAATCGCACTACGAAGCAAAAGTTCGAAATTGTGTTATGCCTTGCAGATTGTACTAAGAGGAGCAAAAACCAAAACACAATTAAAAATAATCGAAAAAACCACATTAATTGAAACGGAGACAGAAACTAACCGTGTGGTTTTTAAATCTCCAACAACCGCAAATTTTTGGTGCTTTGCGGTTTTATATTTTTCAAAAATCGAAAATAACCAAAACACGCCGAATTTAATATATTTAATAATTATATATAATATCTATTATTTTTCTTCTGAAGTAATTAATATAAAACTAGGATTTTACCCGCCACACATTGTAGTGACGGTTATGGATTTAAGAAGTAGGAAAAAGTAAGTTGCTACGTGTTGAAAATAGACGAAAATATAGTTTCTTTTCCAGAGGTAACTAAAAATAAACACCAAAAACGTAAAAAAAATATGGTAAATCATAGACAAACTCGAATTTATACCGACACGTACATAAAAAAACAAGTAATTTTTAAAAATAAAAAAAACAAAAAAAACTAAACTAACGAACGAAAGTTCTAAATTTATGTTGAAACGTTGATTATCTCGAATTTATACCGATACATACATAAAAATAAGAATATAAATAAATAGTTTTTTTTAAGTTAATGAATGAAAGCTATTAAGGAAAATTATATTATATATACTACAGGGGATAAACACAAAAGTTGATAAAATGAAGAAGGCCAAAGTGACATTTTTCAAATTTCAAAGTTGAAAGTGACATTTTTAAATATATTTTTACAAAGTAAAAAGATGAAAAATATCATTTTGTAACATAGACATGTGCAAATTGTGGATGGTAAAATGGAAAGGGGATCAAAGTGACATGGATTGAAAATATCATTTTCCAAAGTAAAGAGGTATAAATTGTCGATAGATATTTCCTTTTAATATATAGTTAATAAAATATATAGTTTGTATAATTTATAAAAATAAAAGAAGCTAAAGATTTATGATGGAAGTGCCAAAGTGCGAGTCCCACTTCGCCCAACAAGAAACAAGGGTACAGACTCTTTTTAAATAAGGTATAAGGTCCTAAAAATATAATCCAAAAATTTCATTTTTAATTTAAGTAAAAACAGTATTCTAACATTATCCATACATCCCGAATAAAATAAGTGTATTAAACATTATAAAAATTAGAGTGAAACCTCAAATGCGGAATCCATATGGTGTGTGCAATGCAGTCAACCCGAGATCTTTCCTTTGGAACCGGAAGTACCTGAAACATAGACTGAAACCGTAAGCACAAAGCTTAGTGAGTTCTCCAATATACCGCATACCATACATACATAGCATATAACGAGCCCCACCCAAAGAGTTTAACGGGCCCCGCCCAATGAGTATAACAGGCCCCACCCTAACTCGGATAACGGACCCCGCTCAATGAGTATAATGAGCCCCACCCTAACTCGGATAACGGGCCCCGCCCACATACAAATCATAACACATAACAACTAATAACATACATGATAATCATCGGGCCCCGCCCAGAAAGCATACAAGCACATACACATACTAGTGTCACACAAATAATGAGTATTCTAACATGTCAGATCATGGGTCGGTATTGGTGCCTTCAACCCGCCATACATGGTGAGGAAACTCACCTCGAATGTTGAATCTCCCTGAAGATCCCTAGTTTCTGTCCTGACGACTCCCGAGCTATTAGTACAAAACAACACCCAAGTAACACTTGGGTTCCAATCTATATCCAATAATCCGTACTTGGGGTAAAATGACCATTTTACCCCTGACCTAGTGTGATCCAAGACTAAGGCCCAAATTCACAATCTAAAAGGCCCAAAACCAAATAACCATTCATGGCCCCTTTATGGCTCAATTTTCCAAATTGGGCTGAAACCCCTTATATGGTCCTTACCTAAAAGCGCGATAATTTTCCTTAGCCCAAAAGCTTGATTCCATATGGTCCTTTAAGGCCCAAATCAACAAGGTCCGAAGAAGTGACCCAATCGAGGCCCAAAAGATGCGAAGCCCAACATACTGAGTACCTAGGGTGTACTTAGCTGTACGTTAAGCATACATGCAACCTGGGCTGTACGCCGTGCGTACAGACTTGTACCCCCAGCGTACAAAGCCATTAAGCCAAAAATCAGTCTTAAGCTCTTAATGCTTAAGACCAAAAGCCCAAAACACACATCTAAGCCCTAAAATATGTCTAGAACCATAAAGTCACTGACTTGGTGACTTTGCATGCCCCAAAAGATCCCAACTTCAAGATATAACATTATACTTTCACAAAAATGGCATAAACTCATTCATGGATGGATCTAACCCTTAAATGTGACAACTTTATGCATCTAGAACATCAGAAACACCAAGAGTGGCAACTCAAAGCTCCTGGGGTGGTATCAAACCACTAGATCTCATTTATGGGCCAAAAAGCGACAAAAACTCAAACATAAGAGATCTAAACCATCATTGATCAAGTTCATAGCTTTTTACCTCAAATAAGTTGGAAATGAAGCAAACGGTCGAGATCCACAAGCTCCTCCTTGATCCACTACCTTGCACCAAGCTTCTACTTCTTGAATATGGATCAAAACACACCAAAATGGACACTATAAGCTCAAAATGCAAAGAGATAGGCTTAGGGTTTCGAGTATAGGGAAAAGAGGAGGAGGCTGAGAAAATAAGGATTTATTGGTCCATAATGATGTTTATATAGTGTTCATACTTGAAATTAGGGCTTTCATTAAGCCAAGTGTACACCCGCGTACAAGGCTATACGCCCCGCGTATGCACCCGGAACCTCGTCCAAGATGATTTTTGGGTTGTTATAAAAGTTTAAAATTTTCATGAATTTTATGGATGTTACACTTGGAATTACCATCTTTATATCTTTATATATATTAAAAGAGAAACATGATTACATCATCTTCAACAATCAGACCCATTGATTGCATTTCATTCTTAGATTTTGCACCCTTGGATCATTTTGCTGACATCATCATTTGCTCAAACCCTTTTACTTTTTGTCCACCAATTTTATAAAACGTATCTTAGGTTTAAAATTAGGAAACTTAATAAAGACAATTAAAACTCACCAAAAATAAAATTAAAATTAGGAAACCTAATAAAGACAATTAAAACTCACCAAAAATAAAATGAATAAGACGGAAGTGCCCTAATTCAGACATGTTCTTTCTCATTAGCACGCCTCTATTCTTTTCTTCTCATCGACACACACACGGAAGTGCCATAATCCTCCATCACGAGCCGCCGAAGCTTCCTTCCTCACTGCCAATTGCATACTACTGTGTTTATGTTTCAAATTTGATGAACAAAATCTTAATTCTACTATTGCTTTCAGGATTCTTCCTTCTCTGTCGAGATTTTCATATCAATAAGTCATCATCATTACCGGTAAGCTTTTTGACCATCCCATGATCGTCTTTGTATTTCCTCCATCTGAAAAATTTGTTTTTACCAACATATGCATCCTTGATGGGTTTTACATGTGTCAAAAAATCATATTTTTGGTGGAAAAACATTAACCCTAAGTTTGCATACACCTTAAGGATCTATGTTCTCACTATGATTTGCAAACAACAAATTGAATTCAAGAAACCCTAAAGCACATTGCTATTTTCGATTTAGGTATAGGGATAATAGAAAATATACCTTTTAGTTTATTATTGAAAATAAACTCAAATTCCTTCTTTATAGAACTTCAAAAAGCCAGCACCAGAAATCTAGTGCCTCTGATGGATCACACCCAAACTCTAAAAGTTGGAGGCTTATTGAAGAGAGAGGAGAGGGGAGAGGATTTTTGGTTCTTCCTTGGTATGAGGGATAGTCGAAAATATGAAGGTGGTGAAGGGTTTATATAGGTGATCAAGGAGGCCTGGATAAGGTAAGTTTCCTTGGATAAGCCTTATCCCTTTTCCTTTTCCCCCCAAGTTTCCTTAGAGCCCAAGAAAAGCTCTAGAAACTCTTTAGAATTTTCGTCCCCCTTTAGGGACATTCTAGAGTTGCTCAATTTTCAACTTTTGAACGTTGTCACATTTAGTCCTTCTACTTTTAATTATTCCAATTAATCCCAAAATTAATTCCAATTAGTTTCAGATTAATTTATAATTAAACAATATAACTTCTAATTAATATATTTTTCTCAAAAAATATTAATAAATCATTTATTTTGATTTCTAATTAATTTATTAATCATATAATAAATTAATAAATTAGTCTCTCCCTCCAAATAGCATTTCAGTCTCTTACTAGGTTTGAGGGCAACCCAAAATGAATTTGCTAATAATTCAAGTTTATAATAATTTAGTTAATGGCTTAGACACCTATTCCAATAGTCCTATGATCTCAGATGGAATCAGGGATTCAATTGTATGTTCATCTTCTTTCTCCAACCCACTCCAAGTTAGGTTCGCCATCCCCTCTGTCAATGGAGGATTCATTTTTATCATATGCAATTATTGTGGTTTGTTTGAAGATTTAGCCCCCTACAATCATTTCTTTATAAAATTATGAATTCAATTATATGTTTGTGTAATGTTCTTATACAATGATTACATTATGGATGTTGTATTTTATCAAAATTTCTATTTCAAGA